CCCGTCAAAGGACGACGTTCTTCTCTCTGTCCTTGGAGAGATTCACACACGGGAAACGACTGCGGAAACAGGAAACGATGAAGTGACATCGAAGGAAAATTACACCAGTTCCTCATCTGGTCTCAACTTATTCAAGGGAAGGACAATTTTCAGGTTGCGAGGTTTCAGTTTGTGCCACAGTATAACAGTTAGCATGGGATTTAGAAATGTCAGTGTTTCCGATTTCGTTCTCAACAATCCGTTTATGACAAGAAAGAGGTTGTTGTCGTCGCCTGTTAAGTCAGACGTTAGTAACGTGAAACACTCAAAGTCTTCGAACTCTTCAAGGAAACGTTTTGCGCTGGCGAAGGACGATATGACCACAGAAATTCCTGCTGATACCGAAGAAGCTGATGTTGTCCCTGATTCACAGTCGCTGTCGCTCTCCTCGTTTTCTGAAAATGCTGATTTTTTGTCTTTGGACATCGAACAATTGACTCCAGATAGTACCAGTGGCGACCCGGAAATTGTTGAGAGTCAGCGCACCATCCCTGAAAGTCAGATCGTAACAAATACGGATGTGTCCAACATTGTTTCTTCACAAAATGGTACCCGTTTCTTTTTCATTTTCTGTTGCTGAATCAAGTTATAAATTTGGTGACCGATTTAACTGCTCTATAAGTATATGAAAGCAAGGATGTTGCCATGACATCATACAGCCCAGTTATTATGCGGAATGCGCATATCACTGCCCGCTGGGCTCGATAGGACTCAATACTGGGTTTGGCAAAAGCGTTCTTTCGTCGAGGACCAGAATCTCTGACGAAATGGTGCATTATTACGCAGTCTTAAAAAAAATTTTGTTTTAGATAAAAGATTTTTAAGACTGCTTCCTGTGGATAAAACCGCTAGATGAGTTTTTCTGAAACACTGATTTAGCCGACTTCACTTAATTGATCTTTGACGCATTTTTCTAACGATTCATTTCCCATTTGTCATTCGCTTTATGTACCTTTTATCTCAGGTTAACGAATTCTTAGAGATGCAGATTGTCAGACGTCGAACATAAATATATGTTTTCCCTACTATATTGCATTATTGAATTTAGGTAATACTTTACTTTCAAGTGATTTTTCATTTCCTGAAGATCAGCCAGTCCGGTTCGTCGAAAAGAGTATCAGTCAGACGTCGTTTGCGATGTGAGTAAGGCCTGTTTGTAATTACGTAAATTTTTAAATTGTTTTTAGCATTAAACTTAATAATCAAATCATGTAAATGGTTGTTTTTTGGTATGTAGGAAGTATAAAACATCATCACTTGACAGTTTCACGGACGAAATTCCGGCTGCACCTTGTCAGCCGTTGAACGTTTCAGAGATCGATATACCTGATACATTGCAATCCTTGGAATTAGCGACTTTGAACAACTGTCAGACGCTGAAATTTTACTACCTGGACTTGTATGAAGACTGCTACAAGCATCCAGGTGCGTCGCCTCACATCAGCTAAATAAAAACTATGTTCAAGTTATTGATTTTACGAGAGTTTGTTTCTAGGTGTCGTACACTTGTTTGGAAAAGTTAACAACAGTCAAACGGACAGTTGGTTTAGCTGCTGCGTTACGATAAAAAATATTGAAAGACGTATTTGGATTTTGCCTCGAGAACAGGTATGCCACCAGAAACATGTTTTCCTAAAAGAAAAGATTAGGGCCATAATTGGTTAAGGAGTTTCAAATCTTGATGCTTTATCTCCGTGAACAGTGTTTGAACAGGCACATTTAACCAACTCAAGTTTGGTCACAATAGCTGATGAATTTTCATTATGAAAAAGA